AACCCGAAAAGGAGTTTGCCGCGCCTGAGTGATTGTTTTCCCAGAGAGATTTGAAGGCAGAATTAAACTTTAATTGAAGTGTGGCTGCGTAAGAACATCCGAGTAATCAGCTGTTGATGTTCGTATTCAGTTATCTTCTGTGACCTCCAGGACTAATAACAGAATTACTTAAATCTCAATATATTTTGTTTGTCGGCTTCTAATTTCCTTGCAGACTCATTTTTATCCTTAAATATGGAGAACAAACAGCCTAAATTTACAGATAATGTAAAGTCCTGACAGTGAAATGTCCTTTGTCGCTGTAAAAGCTGTATTTTATCTCTGACTTTCAYGTGTTCTGAGCCGTTTAATGCGATAATAAATTTGTCAAAAAGTGGCGTTAAAATGTCAATCCTTTAGTGTCCTTTTGGCCTTCAATTCAAAGTCACGATGCACAAAGATAACTGTTAAAATATTTTTCTTTTTAACAGATGAGAACTTCACTGTCAGTAAAACATCTTGAAAAGTTACAGGTTCCTGTTAGAGTCATGGCTCTCAGATTTAGATCTGAGCTTGGAGAGAGATTTGGAATCGCTGAAAGCACAATCACGGTTTTGAATTATGAATAAACAAATAAAGACTAATTTAAGTCATTTTATTATTTATTTAATAAATTATTTTATAAGAAACTAACTAACTAACTTAACAAAGAGTAAGTGAGTAATTTGATGCTACCAACCTTGCTTAGCTGAGCCAAGAGAGGTCGAGTGGCTAAAGCCTACATTCCCCAGAATGCTGTGTGGTTCTGAATCAGACATATTTTTTATTGATATTGTTCATATACTGTATATCATAATTGTTTTATCGCCCAGCCCTAGTAGAAAGGTCATAAAACTTGCTAAATATAGCAACAAAGTTGGCAACACATTGTTTCCTCTTCAAAAAATGACGCGTGTGTTTTGGCGTGAGAAATATAAAATTTGAAGTCATCGGTCATTTAGAGTATGACAGACAASGTATTCAACCTAATAACCACTCTGAATCAGGTGGCATTATTTTTGGACTTCCATGATATTTTTAATTTATCCCTGGGAGCGGTGACGCCACACTCCTGACCTCCATTAATCTTCCCTTCCTCTTGGGGGGTGGTTGGATCTGATACCTTGCCAGAACTTATGTGGAGGAAAAAGGGAACTGAAGATATCTCTGATTTAAAATGACAGCTGTGACTTTAAGTGCTCAAAGCATCCAGCAGCAGTTCACCTCCATTATATAAGTGGCAGTTATTCTGACAGCGGGGACACAGTAAATCTTTGTACGCCTCTTATTCCCCGAGTTGTTTTCCTTTAATCTCCGTTTCTTTTTTTTTCACACAGTCTAATCGCCGTGCGGAAAGGTCAGAGTGTCTGCCCTTTTCTTCTGCTCTTGTCACCGAACACGTGTTTTTAGTCAAGTGGTTATTAGCTCTGGCCTTTAGCGCTTTAAAGATCAGCTGCCCGACCGACGCCGATTCATTCTCAGCGCTGCGTTCTTTCCTCAGCCTGTCAGCGAACGATCAGTTATAGTTTCCTGGTTACTGTTCTCACTTTACATTTTACACATATTAAAATAAATACCAGGATTGGTAAACATGACAGGTTTTACAAGAGTAATGAAAAGAAACTGGAGGACATTATTGTTTTTCAAACTTCTCTTAAAATCTTCTAACTGCCATGAAAGATGGGTGATCATTGCCTCTGTGCTCATTAAAAAAAATCTAAATATTTCATGAACCAAATGATGGATTTTAATAAAACCTTCAGAACGTAACCACTGGATGTCCATCTGCACCTTTCTTAGATATAAAATCACAAAGTACTTCACAAAAAAGGCAGGAAAAAAACTAATTACATACCAAAATGCAACAGGTACAAGTAAAACATCAAACACATAGGAAAAGCTTTAACAACTTAGCTATAAGCCTGTTTGTAAAAGAAAGTCTTTAGATGTTTTATAGGATCAATACCACAGATAGATTAGGGCAGTGCAGTTCAAAGTTGGAGTGTATCAGCTTGGAATGACTAATACCCACAAGATTTAAAATGGGTGTAGGTTGCCACCAACTACCCCTACGAGATGCTGTGTAGAGCTGTATTACTGTTTAAACATGTGAAAAACTTGTTAGAATCTAACAGCATGAATGATCATTTCAAGTTCAGTTTTTGACAAGAAACTTTTCAATTTAGAGATGCTTCTAAGATGGAAGTGGCGGTTTCTAGTCAGTTGCTTTATGTGTTGATTTAAAGACATGGCAGAATCATAAATGACACCCAAACAAGTTATTAAAGACTTTATTTTATGGAACTCTCTTTCTTTGAATGAGCTGAATATCATCAGTTTAGACTGAATATTGCACATTTGTAAATTGCTGAATTGCTTGGTCAAGCAGAAGAATATAAATTTGAAAAAATAAATAAAATAAAAATAGGTCCGAAAACAGAACCCTGAGGTACATCTGTTGATTAAGTGGTTAACTGTATCAAAGGCAGAGGAAAGGTCCAGTAAGACCAGAATAATGTGATATTGAGTCAGAAAATCATTTCCAACACATACTCTGAGCACTGAGAGATTTTTTTCCAGATTTGACCAAAACAACTCGTTTCACATCATGAAAGGCGGTTAGGGTTAGTGATGTGTTGAAACACCAGGCCTTAATTTGGTACAAGTTTAGTGTTGTTGAGGTTGCTTGCAGTTTATAATAGGTGCTTCATGGTTAAATAGCTTCACAGTGTCCATAAGAGCATTATCACTGGCTAAGAATCTCACGCAGACTGACACTAATGAAACATTTACACTTATTAATGACCATCAGAACTGTTGTAACTGTAGTGTGGTCTGATTTCCATGTGCTACGTTTTCTTTTATTGGCTCTAAATGGTGAACACGTTTCCTTCGGTAATTATTGGTTTCTTCTAGCGTCACTTCCAGCACATCTACACAACAGCAGGTTGTCAAATAAAATTGGCTCCAAGGTGTTAAAATGAGAAAAAGATACCTGTGAAAGCGTTTGGGCTTTCTGATGCTCACCAAACGTGTGTGTGTGTGTGTGTGTGTGTGTGTGTGTGTGTGTGTGTGTGTGTGTGTGTGTGTGTGTGTGTGTGTGTGT